TATCTGATGATTAAGCTTTATTTATATATAAATTACTATCAGAATAACTAGGATAAGTAATTACTATTAATAAATCATATAACTGAAGCTTTAATAAATAAATCAATTAAAATAATACCTTTTTAAACTACTAATAGATATGAATCTCAAATACTTTTTGATTAGAAATCACTGTCAAAGATACTATATAGAGAAGAGAAGCTTAAACAAGAAGATATCATATAGCATATCATTTAAATAAAAGAAATTTAAAAACTAGCAGTAGACAATGTGAAAAAGATGTAAAAAATTATAAAATTATATATTAATAAGTATCATTAAAAGTCAAACTTTAAAATAGAAGATAAGATCTTTTTGTTACTCAAAAACTATAGAATTTAACAACTCAGTAGAAAGCTTACAGAGTAAAAGGAAGACTTCTATAATATCATTGAGAGAATGAGCAACAGTTAGAGACTAAAACTACAGAATAGTATAAAGTTCTACTCAATATTCTCTTCTGATAATCAATAAAAAGTAGTGAATGATTCTCTACCAGAATAATTAAATAAGACATCAGAACTGATCAACATACAGAATGAAAATAAATAAGAAGTTAAAAATATTCTAGCAAGCTAAATTTTTTATAAAAAGTATTAATATCAGATAAAATAACTAAAATTTAATGATAATTCAATATAATATTTAGTATAAAATTTAAAAGAATCTCTATATCTAATTTGAGAGTTTTATACTATAAATTCAATAAAAGTAGAACTCTTAAAATGATTTAATAAATGATTAAAAACTTAAAAAAAGGATGACTATCTAGCAGATAAAGTGAATAATTATCTACCAATATGAGAATATACTTATACTTTAAGAGAGAATATATGATGATATAGAATAAGCTCTATAGTTTTCTCAACAGTATAAGATCAAAGTAAATAGTAATTATAACTGCTTAGGCATAGTAATTTTAAACTACTTAGATATTGATATAGTAATTAATATTACATACAAATAAGATGTAAATATAGTAATTATATAGCAACTGTACTAAAAAAAACACTAAGAAAAAAATTATATAAACAGAGTCTTCATGAAACTCATCTTTTAAAAATTATTTTAATATTCACTCAGATAGCTTATATAGTTGACAATCAAATATTTGTTCATCTGCATATAGATTGAAGCTGTGATATATAGCTGAGAGTTCTTACTATATATATACTTTTATTTTTAAATAAATTAGCTATATGTATAGTAAAAAGAAAAGATGATACTAAAGATTTTTGAGAAATTTCTTTTTTAATATAAATTTTTTTCTATTTTATTACATTAAAAATAAGTAAAATGTTTTTTTTTATCATAATATAAATAACTTATTTAATAAAAACTTTGGTAACTTTAACTCTTATATAATTAAAATTATTTTATTTTATAAATATAATCAAAAGTATCTTTTATATCAATAAAAGTAGCTGTTGAGATCAGATTATCATTTTTATCTATTCAAATATTACAAATTACTGATAAAACTACATCTATAGCTGAATTTTATTTACTACTATTTATTTAACCATTATACAATAAATTAGTAGTAGTAAATAAAAAATAAAAATTTATAGTTAATAATTTTTTAAAAAATATTTTCTATATAGTTTAATAAAAATATAATTTTATAGAATTTAAAAATTAATAATTTTTTATTAAACTTTATTAAAATAACTTCTATTATCTTTTTTTAGCATATTAAATAATATTCATATTTTATTAAAGAGAAAAATAATATGAAAAGTTTTTCTTTAAGCTCAAAGAATACTTTTTATATTATAAATTGATTTATAAAGTCAGGGTCCAGCTGCTGTTTTAGTAAAACTAGTAAAAATAGATATTTTTATCTCATTTTTCATTAAATCAAACTATTTTCACTTTATTCTATTATTATAATATTTATTTATAATAATATATTTCTTAAATTTCTATTGATTTATGAAATATAACTCTCACCAATATCTAACATTTTCCTTTACAATGCGCTACTAGCACTATTCTCCTCC